GAGGATCGACTAACTGGGGGGGGGGGGGGGGGGGGGAAAAAGTGCAACCCAAATCACTACAAGGAGAATGCCATAGTCAGGGTTTACTTTTTGAAGATGCTGTGAAACAGGTAGCCTAGCCAAGGGAAAGGTGTTTCTGGTCACAGCACAGGAAGCCGAGAATGAGTACGGCTGTCTCTTCATCTTCGGTATTTCCTAGCTCTATCTGTTACAATGCAGAAGAAATGGGGAGTGCAAATAGCCTTGCTGTAAGCGTTTCCATATGGGAATGTGGAAATGCTCAGCCCTGGAATTTATCTAGGCTGCTTCTGTACAAACCAGCCTGACTTCCAGACATCCAGTCCAATGTTCTCTGTTGGCTAAAGGCACGGACAGCTGGCTGTTGCTTGGGTATTTTAATTTATTTTTTTAACTTAAAAAATATGACAGCACTTAGAATTAAAAACAAGGAAGAAAGGAAGAGTCTGAAAATGCATGGCATGATTACATGATAGGGCTGGAGGGGCTGAGGAGAAACATCTAGTCAAACCCCATGTGGCAGGGAAGTCTCAGCTCAGCACAAACCATCTCTGAGGGATGTTCATCTTACCTCATCTCAAAGGCCACATTGTAAATACGTGCATGTGTGTTCATGCATGCAGTTTGGAGGAGAGTGTGTATGTCAGACTGAATTCTGTTTGTGGTCGCACCAAGAGTAGTGCTTTGCAAATCTGTGGGCTTTCTTTGGCTTTAGATTTATGACACTGATCAGAATACACTCTTAAAATGAAATTCTCCGTGTGTGTCATGTGTACCCTGCTATAACTCACTGATGCCCCGCTGGGAGGGATCAAAGTCACGGTTTGGTGTACCTGCATACAGGTGGGTGATGAGATCCACTGCTGCCATCTTAAGGGCAAACTCAAAACCAGCAAGCAGCCAGTCCATCACCTAAGCCAGGGGGCTCTCTTGCTCTGCCACATCCTAGTCATCTATAGGACCATTTTTTCCAAAGTACTTAGCCTAAAAGAATGGAGGTCCTTGATCACACTAGAAGAAACAAGTTCTAACACTCACTAGAGCAGTCAGCATAATCAGGGCAAAAGATTAACACTCCAAACCAGTGGCTGGCTGCTACCCAACCTTGGAGGTAAAGGTGTCAGAGTATGGCTGAGGACAGGTGAGTGGAATTCATGGGAAAGGAGCAGTAGTTGGCTAAATCGGTAGTATTCCTGCAGCAAGCACTTGAGAAAATCAGCCATGTCGATACCAAACTTTGTTTTCCCCCTTAGGACCTGACAGAAGCCATTCAGAACGGAGTATACCCTGTCGGAAATGAATCACGGATTGAAGACAGCAACTGGGATTTCAGTAACTCCTTCTTCTTTGCAGGCACGGTTGTGTCCACAATAGGTAGGTCTAATGCTTTCCATGTTTGTGTGTTTGTGTGTGTGTGTGATGCTTATTATGTCTGGTTATTAGGACCCGAATGGATAATACTTTCAAGGATAAAACCCCAGTCTTGTGGTGTCATGGATGGTAAGCAGCAATGGACTTGGTCCCGAGGCCTCACTACTGCACAGCTCTTGGTGCATTATTTTGGCTTGTGAAATACCAGTGGCCTTTCGTATTCTTTCCCATTTGTTTCTTCTTTTTGACCCATCTGTTAAAATGTTCACTCTGCTGCCAGTTGTGGGTGGGAGATAAGCTTCACATTCCCAATCTTTATTCTAGGGTCAAATAGGTTTTAAATTCAAGAGTGCTGTAAAGCATAAAAGAATGGTAGGAAAGAAGTGCGCTCTGCTGGGGCACAGACACTGTCTTAATAACTTGTGCTGAGCTGTTAGTGCACATATTAAATTAGTAATATGCCAGGAGAGGAAAAAGGGGAAGAGGGCAGGGCAAATGCTGAGACTTTTTACACTGCTGCTTCAAGCTGTTCTGACCTTTTCAGGGGCTGCTGGCCCCTACCTGCCTCTCCCTTTCTCTCAAATATACATCTCAAAAAGTGCAGGCCTGCCAAATTTAAGCATAAAATCTACACTCTTGGCTCCTGCTTCACGCTCTCATGCCGTGAAAGTCAAATCTATGTTTTTGCAGAGTGAAGCTGAGGCCTCACTCCCCCAACACCCCTAGGCACAACTGCTCCACTGATCTGTGAGTGTGACATGTCACAAGAGCCCCGGTGGTGTCCCAGCACTATGGCAGGTGTGTAGGTGTTGTGTGAACCCATGTGGAGACCTCCTGTTGTAGAAGAAAGAAAGGATGCTCACTCATCACATCAGCTACAACAACATTCACCTATAGATAAAGCTTCCCTAGTCTGTCAGCACCCTGCTACTAGCCAATCCATTCCTTGCCACCACTTGTATTATTGTGCTTTTTCATTGCAGCACTTCTCTGCCAAACAAATCAGTCATTTCCCATCAAATTTGTTTCCCTGGTGAGGCAGACAGGCTGTCCCAGGAAAAGTGCAACTGTGCCTGTTTCTCTGCACCCTCACCACAGAGGTCTGTTGTGAAGGTACATCAGGTACTTCCACTCATTTGCGAGGTTTGTGATTAAGTATCTCTGCAACAGGGAGCACAAGACAGCTTAAGCATTTGGGGGCCTAATAGCCAATAAGTCAGTTGTTTTATTGGTCTTTTCCCCCCAAAGAAAACATTTCATTTTCCAAGTAATGGATGCCATGAAATGAACTGTGCTCAGAAAAGTGCCTTTTCTTGGGGCCACTGGTAAAGACATACACAAAATACAGGACTCTTGCACTCAGGAATGTACCTCATGGGTCTAAGAGGAACGGTCTCCAGTCCGTTAAAGGACATGTCTGGAATTCTGCAGCTGTTGTTCCACTAGTGAGATAAATCCTCTTTAGAATTAATATCTCTCTGTCATGAATAAATCAGACACCAGTAAGGTCTGCACTAATGAGCACCCTCTAGTCTAAAGCACACTGCCCTGCCTCCAGGACTGGAGCCAGTATCTGGGCATGCCAACTAACTGGCGTTTAGCCAGGGAGGTCACTAACACACAAGCAGATGGACTAGAAGCTAGAGATTCCAGCACAGCAAACAGCCTGGGACTCCAGCCTTGATGTCTTCCAGGTCCCCCGACTTCTGTTCTCTGTCTTTCCATGTATTTATCACAGAACAGAGCGTGTTTTCCATAACTGCTATTAGACTGTGCTTTCGTTCCCACTAAGGCTGGGTTGGAAGCACACAGTGCTCTCTGCATCCCCCATAACACGCAGGATGAATCGCTTCATCTGCTGACTGCCCTCTTCAGAGAAAAAAGAGTGCATGTGGACTGAGAAGTGCTAGCCACATCTTTTGGGGTCAAAGGCAGACCAGATTGGGGTAGATGTGAATGTAGACTGCTCCAGTTGTCTGGAATATCTCCTCTGAACCATCTTTTTTCATAGGCTATGGCACACTACGTCCTAAAACTGCTGGGGGCCAGATCTTCTGTGTCTTTTTTGCCCTGTTTGGAATCCCTCTGAATATTGTTTTTCTGCACCGTGTCGGTAAGATGCTGTCACTGCTGTGCAAAAAGCTGGGGAAATTCCTGTACGAGAAAGGAATGAGAAAGGTAATTAGTTTTACTTACTCAGGCATAGTTGTATGCTCCTTTCTCTCATGCTGTGTTAGACATTGTACTAGGAGAGGGAAAGACATTCACTTGCAGAGCTGACAAGGCAGCCGTAGAGGAGATATTCAGAGAAGATGCATTTTGTCTACTCATCGAAGTGGCAGACATCCAGCCCCCTTCAGCAATCAATGGAGAGAGTGGGCACCTCATCCCACTTCTCTAGACACTTATCTCAAGAGGTGACACTCGAGGGAAGTACCTGTTTCCCTTTATAACTAGCAGAGAGAGAGATGATTAAACATCTCATCTTGAGGCAGCAGAAAGCAAGTGAGCTGTAAAAAGCTGTAAAAATAGGTGAGCTGTAAGGGCTTCAATAGACATTGACTCAATGCCTAGTGTGTCACTCCTCTTTATTCACGATGGAGGCCTTTGAGCCCTCTCCTCCCTTGACTTTGACAGAAAGGAAACCTCAGGCTGAAGTTGTCCATTTGAGCCCAGTTCCTGAGAGGTGAGGAGGCACCTGTAAAGTGCTAGAGATGGGATGTGTCTTGCCTGGTCATGGCCCCAGTTATCTGCAGCTCCTCCCCTTCTCTCACCACTACTGAGGAAATGAAAATAGCTTTTCTGTGTCTCCTACTGTAATTCCCTTTCAGGTCAAGGTATGAACACTACAGACAACCCTCTTCGAATGGTTAAATTTCTCACTGTGTCTGGTGAACTTAAATAGAATATAAGGCTTGATCAAATATAGCCTAGAGAAGAGAAGGGTCTGGAGACACCTTCTAGCAGCCTTCCAGTATTTAAAGGGGGCTGCAGGAAAGATGGGGAGGGACTTTTTACAAGGGCCTGTAGTGATAGGATGAGGGGTAATGGTTTTAAAAAACAGAGGGTAGATTTAGATTAGATATAAGGAAGAAGTTCTTTATTGTGAGGGTGGCAACATACTGGAACAGGTTGCCCAGAGTTGGACAGGGCTTCGAGCAACCTCATCTAGTGGAAGTTGTCTGTGCCCATGGTGGGGGGATAGGAACCAGGTGATCTTTAAGGTTCCATCCAACCTAAACCATTCTATGATTCTATGAGTGTCGTGGTTTGAGCCCAGAGGGCAACTGTGCACCACGCAGCTGCTCACTTCTTTTCCCCCTCAGGAACGGGAAGAAGAAAATAAAACAAAAGGCTCAGGAATCAAGACAAAGACAGGACGAGGGATGACTCACCTCTTACGTTCACAGGCAAAAGACAGACGCATTAGGGGAAGAAGAATAATATAACTTTAATTCAGACAACAACAGCACTTAATTTAACAATCAATCAGAGTAGGACAGTGAGAGGTATAACCACATCTTAAAAAAACACCTCCCCCTCCACTTCTCCTCCTCCTCCTCCTCCTTTCGTCCACTGACCTCGGTGTTTGCATAGGTGTCTCCCTCACAACTGTTCCTCACAACTCCAACTCCTCATCCCATATTCCCCTTCTTAAATACGTTATTGCAGAGGCACAGCCACTATCGCTAATTGGCTTGGCCTTGGCCAGAGATGGGTCTGGCTTGGAGCTGGGGGAGATTTTTGAGAAGCTTCTCATGGGAGCCACCACTGTAGCCCCCTAACCCGCTACCAACCCCCCCCGCCACACACCAGCCCAACACAATGAGATGTAGACTCAAGCACATGCACAAATGCATTAAAAATTATCCAGGAGTTGCCATTAATTTTCAGACAGTCTGGACTTAACAAATTCTATATATAAACTATATGTGTGTCTGACTGATGAATCTTAATATATAACAAGTCTTTTTCTCCAGACAAAGCTTCTTCAGGACTGCTGGGAAGTAGGATAGTTCAAAAGTCACTCTCCAGGTGCTTCATCAGCTCATTTGTTAAAGGTCTTCTTGTAATAAGGTATCCATGGGGTAGGAGACAATTTGTGGCACTGATGCAATAAGAAACAGTCAACCTTCAAGACTCTTGGAGATAATACTGTCAGAAATAGTGTAAATATTTTTTTTAAAAAAGTCAATTTTCCAAGGCAAATTTGAATATTCTTTAGGTGTCACACCTGAATACCTAAAACCTAAAAGTGAAGTTGTCTGGTGAAAAGTAGAAATAGTCTGACTCCAGTAAAAGTCATTGGATAGGAATTCCTCCTATGGTCATGGTTACTGGAGGTTGATACAATCCAATAAAAGAGTACATCTCCCAGGGCTACTGTGGACATGCAACACCCATAATACATGGCTTCCCCACGCTTCACAGCAAGGGCAGGGTACCTTTAGAGGAAGAGGCCCTAGACAGCCACCCATTTTGAATAGCCACCCTTATCTATGGCCTGCTTGTGTGTCAGATCATGGTTACAATTGAATTGGTCTCTTTCTTTTTCAGAAGAAGATCAAATTTCTGACCCTTTTGTTCTTCCTGGCAACGGGGATCCTAGTTTTCCTGTGCTTGCCATCAGTCTTCTTCCAGATAACAGAGGGCTGGTCCTACAGTGAAGGAATTTACTTTGCATTTATCACCCTCAGCACCATTGGCTTTGGAGATTATGTAGTAGGTAAGGTTGATTTCAGAGAGGAGACACAGCAAAGCCCCAGGGTTATGACTGTGATTACCATGGGTTGACTGCACAGGCTGCCAATGTACTGTAGAGACAAATCTTCTGTCTCAGTCTTTGACTAGTCTTTGCCTTGTACAGTTCTGGGGGAAGTACTCATTTCTCTGGGATTGCATGTGCTGACAAAAGCACAAAATTGTCTAAATATAATGGAATGTTGTGCTTTGGGGTGCAAAGAAGCCAACTCTTTTGGGGAGGGAAGGGGAAGCATAGAGGGAGAATTCAAGAAGCCTAGGAATTTTCATATACTAAAAGGTAACCATTTGCAACAGTCATACAAAATAAGGCATGTATTCCTGCTTTCTAAGGTTTGCTATCTAAGATTTGCTATCTAAGATTTATGTTTCAAAGTGTAGAGTCAAGAAATAAGTGGTCGTGTTTCAGAAGACAGGATTTTACACAACAGACTGAGAGGTGGAAATCCCAGCCATAGGAAAGTGGGGAAATCTACTCACTCTGTGAGAAGTGGAGTTCAAAAATACTTATCAATGTGAAAGTGGCCTTCTTAAGTCTCCGATGATCACTGGAGGCTCTCCATCTTCACAAGCCAAAGCTTGGGATTTCCCCTGAAGATGAACTGTTTAAGCTACACTCCCGTGTGCTGGAGTGCTTCTCGAAACACTTCTGTGGATCTGCTGACCAAAATGTACTCTCCATGGAATCAGCTTCTGGAGGAACTCCAAAATGATCACCAGGAGCCAAATCAGTGTCCACAGAAGAAGCAATCGCACACCTGGACTCTGTGGAGAATCAAAGATTTCTCTACAGCAACCTCTCCTGAGAGCATCTTGCCAGCCTGAACTTCTCTTCAGTGGGGATATGTGAAGGAAGCTCTGAAGCTGATACCTGAGCACCAGCCGTGTCCCTGCAGAGCATCTGTAAGCCTCACGTCCCTTTCTGGTGGGTCAGACATCCACCACACAACAAACCCCAGGTTCTCAAGACTGGCAGAGATGCAAGAGAGGCCTTGGAGACTGGCAGGGGGTCTTGGGGGCTGGCTGTCAGCCTTGCTGTGCGTTTGAAATATTTCTTACATCAGGCTGACAACTCTGGCAGAGGGAACCCACGAGCTTTTCCAGATACTGTCTGCTGTTCCCTGCCAACCCTAATTTCTCTGAGTCAGCTAAAGAGGCTGGATAGGGCTTTGATGATCCGGTTGACATCTTGCTTGTTTGCATGAGTTTAGTGATCATAATGATCTTGTAGCCTAACTGATGGTTAATTCATGCAATGGCCATGAGATGATTAGGCCACATTTCTGCGAGCTAACTGCTCCCTCTTGTTACAAAGCACAGGAAACCAGCATCCCCTGAAACTCCTATTTTCACATAATCCAGAGAAAGATTCTTTGTCTCCAACAGGGGTTAAGCAGTACTGCCATGAACACAATACAGAACTTGGGCATCAGCAAGGAATCTGTATCACACACCCGTGGCCTCTGCTCATTGTTTTCTCCTGCCTGAGCCAATCTTTGTCACTGCAGTGGAGGACAATAGGGCACAGGCATTTCTTTCCTAATCATCCGTAGGACTGATAAGCATGGTCTGTGTGATACAGAGCACCTTGAACTTCAGTGACGTGGAATACCTCCATAGCACTTTCCTCCTCTGCAACCACATTATTTTACAAATACAGTTTAAAAATTACAATTAGAGAGGCCTCCTGACTCTGTGTTTTCATCTTCTTTAGGATGACTTAACTGGAGCTGAAAATTTTTTCCCTGCAGTATTTATTTCAATTAGCCTTGAACAACGCTGATAAATGATGAGAAGTTTAGTGCCTCACACCTTCACAATGAAAGAAGAAGAATCCATGACTGCTCTAAGTATTATGCATTTAGAACTGCTTACAGATGACAAATGGATTTTCTCTGGCCAAGTGAAACAGAACAGGTTTGAGTTTATTTGCATTTTAGTAATTCAAAACTGTTTTGTAGCTGTTGTACTTCAAGCATGAGATAAAGCCTGTTTTGGGTAGGGAGACATCCTAGGAAGATGACAGAGTCTGGATTTAACTGTTTGTAGTACATAGACACATAGGTGATACTTTTAGGGTGAAACTGCCCTTGGGCTGTAAACTGAATTTATGCCCTGTTGAAGTCCAGTTTTGAGTTAACATTGGGAAGATACTACTAGTTGCTTTGCTAACCCCACGTCATGAACTTCAGATAAGAGCACAAAAGGAGATCCTTTGTAGCAAGGCTGGAATCCCCTCTGTCAACTCAACCCCTGCAGAAGAAAAAGAAACTGCTGTTGGATATCTATCCATGATGACATCCTGCCCCGTTTCCAAAGATCTTGCATGATGAGGTACAAAAATCCTGCACACTGATCTGTGCAGCACAGAGCACTGCAGGACTTGAAAAGTGTTGCCAGCATCCTGGCTCCTTCTGGACAGCTTGACAATGGGAAATGATCCACCCGGTTTTCGGTGATCTCCCTGTCCATGCACATTGCTGTGTTATCTACCATGTAGCCATCCTTAACTGTGACTTACAGCACTCAATAAGCAATATCACCAAGTTTTCCTGCAGATGCCAGCTGTACCATGATGGCAACTTTGTGTGGGACTGAGTACAGTGGGAGAAAATGCTCTCTGTATGTTGGTGGTGGATTGCTGATGTCTGAAGAAACAAACAAAATGACCCATGTAGAAAAGTTGGCATGCAATAATGGATGATGTTAAGAGGTTTGGACTGCATGAAATAAGCTTTGGTCAACAGATTTCCAACACAGAAGGTTGTGTTCTTGGCACATGTCAGTGGGTTCTCATCAGTCACCTAGTTTTTTAATGGAGGAAGATCCTGAAGCCGTTCAAAAGTGAAGTAGGAGTTGCAACTACTCTCTTTGTGTGATCAAGGGTACCTAACATTTAAAGCAAATATTTATTAGGTAATAATCACTCTTTATAGAAATACACAGAATTACCATAACCTAGGTAGTGATAGTCGTGTGGTTATAGTGGGCCACTGTGTTTTACTTTTTGTGCTTGGGGAGTTGGGTTATATTTTCAAGGTAATACAGCACAATTTTACACTGCTTCCCACATCATTACATTTACCTGTAGATGCAGAGGTTGAACTGGGACTGGTATGCTATAAGGGGAAAAAATATCCTTCTGTGCTACTAATTCACCACAATCCCAGTATGTCTTTTGGACAAGCCAGTATGTTTGTACTAGCATATATCAGTTTATTGCAACAAGAAGAGACTTTCCCAGCCTTAACCTAATGCTGGGGAGGTGAGAGACTCCACTACAATGAAGAAGTCCCTTTAAAATACTCAAAATACATTACTGAGTCCATTAGGCTGGCCCACTTTACCCAGGCAAAGCAATTTTAACTCCTTAATTTTCTTCTGCTTTCTCTCCCCTTATCTGCAGGTAAACAACCTGGCAGGAATTACTTTTCCTACTACCGAACACTGGTGGCCATTTGGATTCTTTTCGGCCTTGCATGGATTGCTCTCCTATTTAATTTATTGACAACTGTACTAGAAGATACTGAAAAAATAATTGTCAAAGATCTCCATCAAATTGGAAAGGTGAGTAAGGACAATGAAGCAAGCCAACAAAGAAGATGCTGGCCTGCTCAATTTATTCCAGAAGAAGAACTACTACCGCCATGTGCTGGAGGGGATACGCGGGAAATGGAGTCGTTAGCAGCAGATTCTGAACACACAAAAAATGAAAAAAACGATTTTTTAAATAGCAAACCTATTACCACAACGTATGAGAACTGAATTCCTCATTGGACAGTTGCTAGTGAATTATTCTACAGAAATTCCCATGGAAGTCAAATTTCTCCTACCTTTTGCTAAGATATGACCTTTCAGAACTTAAGACTTGCAGTTACACAAAGCTGAATACTAATGGTAAGACATTTGCTCCTCAATTTGCAGCTAGGTTGTGCTGACAGCCTGAGAAGTGCACTTCTTCTGCAAGGTTTTTTTAAGGTGCTTCCACAAAAATGCAGAGGAGGGGCATGGCAGAGCTTGCTGGTTCTACTTGGACTTTGCTGCTTGCAAGAAATTGTGTCTCTTCCAGGAACTGACATGCACAAGCTTTTCTGAGGCACTGCATAGCACCTTTGGAAGAAAAAATAAGGGTATATTGGATCGGATGCCTGATTTGAGCCATCATATTGGATAAGCTATTATGATCTGAAAGATATGTTTAAAGGACAAGGCCTGGGCTCAGTTCAAAGACACTAGAAGCATCTAATGGACAGGGTTAGAAAAAGGTTAGCATGTTAGAAATTATTAATTCTACCTCTTCTTGTTTTATGGTAAGATGAATAAAGGCAATTTCAGCTTTTATCCCTGTGGCTTTGAAAAACCTTTCCGATGGTATTTCTAAAGAACACACATATAAACCCATGTCTTTAATTGAAATTTTATAATAATTTTATCCTATAAGCATTTTATAACTGCAGAGATGGTTTGAATGGAGGAGTCCTCACTGCATCAGAGCCTTCCTTCTATGTTTATATTCCATAGGAGCTATAACAACATTTAAAAATTACTCTGTTATGCTGTGCTAAGGTAGCTTTCCAAGTGCAAGTGTTGTATAAACGGTGCAGCCTCACCATCAATCAGGTAAAAAAAGATGTCAAATCTGGACATGGTGTTTCAGATGTTCCTCCAGGCTTGCAGGCCATCCCGGAGCGAAGATCCTGGCCTTTTAAAGGCTCAATCTCTGCGTCGGGTGCTTTGTGTGTGTCAAGAGTGCGTGAAAACTCTACCCTGAAGTGCTGGCAAAGCAGCTGTGGTAGACACAGTCATAGAGGTGAAAAGTCCCGTGGGTGTATATGGTGATACTAAAAGTCAGTCTAGTCCAATATCCTGTCTCTGACCGTGCCTACTAGCATATGCCTCCAAACAGCGTAAGAATGAGGCAGCTCTGCCATGCTCCCACGCTCCCTCTTCCAGTAGCTGGTGCCTCAAAGGCTGCCCAAGCAAGAGGTAGGGTCTCTGTACTTCGAACTCATATCAGCACCCACAGGACCCACGCGAGGCAGACCATAGGTTCAGTACACGAACTGCCTCCCTTTGATGGTGCTCGACAGGTTTTTGTGATATCCTCAAGTTCCTATTTTGTCAGACAGTGAATAATTGTTCTCAGCTCACCCTCCATGTGTTAGTTACAGTGAGACCAGCCCTTGCCAGAGCTATTCCTGTATAAAAGGAAGAATAAATTACAGCTATAAAGCAATTTTAGGCCATAAAGATGCAATCAACCTTGAACTCATAACTATTTCAGTCAAACAAAACCACACTTGTTGCCATAACAGCTCTGCTGGTTCAAGACATGGCATGTAGACCTGACCAAATATGTACTTTCTTTCCCTCCCCAACTTATTTTCCAGTGTTGCCCTCAAGGCTGACTTCTTGTCTAATATGACTCACCCACAGTAAACCTTTCTGAGGCAGAAGGAACAAGAAATGACCAAAATTGGGGCGAGGTGGCAGGGATATCACAGGACACAGTGGTCCTTGTGCAAGCCACGACCCTGTTGCTATCACAAGGCAACACCATAGCCAGACAGAGAAAGCAGCTGGATATTCCTGGAGAGGGATCTCTTCACCTCTCTGTGTTCCCCTCTCATCAAATATTGGCTCACATTATTATTTTCCAGGCATCTTTTTTTCTCAGCCCTTCCAACAAGGAGCATTAACACCATCCCCAACCTAGCAGAGGTACTGTCAGGGCTGGTTTAGGGAGAAGCAGTCCTGTCTTAGGATGTGATGGCCATTTTGCACAGCCTCTCATAGTTCCTACCAGGTCAGTTCCTGGTGTTTGATACTCCCCAGCCGCAAAGGTGTCAGGCAGGGCCTCTGGGCATGTCGATTTGCTGTCTCTATTGCTGGGGAGAAAGAAAAGACTCCAAGGAACATCTTGAAGTCAACACACCTCTGGTGGTTTTTCTATAACTTGTTCTCTCTGTCCCAGCTTGCTCCCTGTCATGACAAATAACACACCTGGCCCTGGAACAAGCTGGTAATGTCCCATTGCAACACAGAGCAATCGAGGATGCTCGTTTAGACATTTCAGGAAGGGCAAGAGACATGGCCCATGGGCTCTGACCGTGAACAGCAAGCACAGAGCCAGGCAGTGGCTCTTTGAGCAGAACAGGACAAATTCTCTGTCCTTCACACTGGTGGGTGTTTAACAGTGAGCCTTGAAAATCAAGCACTTTCCATTTCCAAAAGTCAGTCTGCCCTGTGCAGCTAATGCAGGTGCAGGCAATTCACCTTTTAACCAATTCCCTCTTGCCACACTCCCCAGCTAAGGATGTGCCCCTCCAGACAAGGCACAGAGGGACTGAACAACTCACCCATGGCCAGGGGATGTGGGAAAGGTGAGTTGGGAATGGCTGTCATGGGGCTGTCCTCCTTCAGACACCAAGAACTGAGGTGTCCCTTCAGCTGTAGATGCCAGCCTGGGAACAGAGAAAACACATCCACAAGCATAAAACCCATAAAAGCTCTCAGGAGAAATTCAGGTAACTGCTCTGAGAAAGAAAATTAGCCTTTCATAAATCCTCATACCCACAGGGAGGCCTTTTGAAGGGTCTCAGCTTTGCTTCCTGTGCCCTCTCGTAGCTGTGTGCTGCAGACCCCCTCCCTCTGAATTTCTGCCAAGTACAGGCAGTTTTACTCTGCTTCCTACTGTGCAGTTCAGCTGATGTAGCTGGTACAGCCATGGCCGGTGCAAATCCCAGAGCAGCAGTTTTGTCAGTGTGAACCAGAGGAAGCCATCCCGTGTTTTTATGCAGTGCAGACGAGCTCACCAAGGACTAAGACATGCCCCATTCTCAAGAAAAAGGTGGGGATAGGGGCCCCAAACTCATCCAGCCAGAGGTCCTGCCTTGTACTCACACTAAAACAGCTTTGTGGAGGTCAGCTGGGGATGCAACAGCTTTCTGTCAGCGAACCATCATGCGAAGGACCCTCACTGGCAGCACGCACGGTGCTGATGATGGGGTACGCTCGTATCACACGCCCCATGCACCAGCATCCCCTGCAGAAGGTCTGCTATTGGACTGAGGCACACATTCACACCGTCTGTCCCACGGGGAAAGGGAATGGCCCAGAAAAAATCTGCGAAATGGCAGGTTTGGCTGCAGGCTCTGGGGCCAGGATGAGCTGGCTGGCTCTGTGGCAGCCTCAAGGGCAGGCAGTCCTTCATGCAGCAGAAGCCGGGGGGAGATAGAAGCTGCAGATATATGGAAGAAAGCATCAGCATCAAAGGGTGTGTGGTCCTCTCCACTGGGAAAGGCAAGGGAAAAGCCCAAGAAAGCTGCAAGCCAGGGTGGGAGAGGAACTTTTTTGGATTTGATATTGTTCCTCATGCTTACGCTGAACAATAAAGCTGTCTTCAGAAGGGCTTAGGCACAGCAACAAATCTCTCCAGGGCTGGAGCAAGCAGCCTCTTCCAGCTTTATCATCCTCTGAGCACTGCACAACCGCAGCATATTTTGTCCTCGCATTACCCCTGAAAGGGGGAGCTGTTGCTTTCTGTGCAGATAGTAAGGGCCCCTGGAGAAAATTAAGTGTATCACCTGAGCTCATGCATAAGACCTTTGGCAAACACATGGTCTGGTGCTCTCTCAACCAGGACCAGGTGTCCTGGTATTGCTTTCTAATAAATTAGACCCAACTAGTGGTTCTGCAGTTGCTGAGGTTAAGAAAAATAATCCTGAATAGACGGCAAAATGAGAACAGAACTTCTCCTCCACAGTTGGAGATTTAAAATGGTCACAAGACTTTTAAATCATGAGTGTAAACTAGGCTCTGGCTCTTCTGCATGTTCTCCTTGACCAAAGGACAGAAAACAGGACTAAAATCCATGCCAAATTCCCTGTTCTGCCAAGCGGCGAGGCAGCAGCAATCCTCCAGAGACCAGGCAGAGGAGTTCTCCATCGGCAGATCTGCACAGCCTGGAGCTGTTCAAAAGCCCTCGCTGTGACCCAGCGCCCCTGCACCACTCTGGGAAATGCAATTTTCATGGAGCAGCCTCCTGTGCAACTGCCAGCTCTCCCACTGCAGCTTGTTTTCAAATGGGAAACATTTCCAAGGCAGGCCAAATACTTTCCTGCACGTTAAACCAGTTGCTGAAAAACTCCAGGAGTATGATCATGAAATGTATTATCTTGGATTAAATGGCAGCAGCATGTTCCTGCATTCAGTCTGGGCTGCTCCTCATATATCACCCACGTCTTTGTTGCCAGCTAGCAAACAGTGTGCATTTCTGCACTTGAAACTTTCCTTGAAAAAGGAAATGCCATGAGGAATCCTCTTTCCCTCAGAAAGAAGTCCCTCAGAAATTCAATTGCCTCCAGAGAGAATAGGAAAAGCTGCACTTTGATCTGACTTTAATTAGTATATGGGATTATTTAGGGAACTTTTGAGGTCTCCTTCAGTTAATACCCAGTTCATCTGGAGAGATTACGTTTTTTCTGGAAGCAGAGAAAGTACTCAAAGCAGTGGAATAGCTTGGTTAATGTAACATCATATAGCCAGTGGGATAATTTTTTTTACAGAAATTACTAAACAGGGGCCACACACATGCTATTTTCCACTCTGTCACACTTGGACTTGTGGTTTCTTGCCTGATTTATGACCAAAAGGCACTGGGGATCCAGCTCAGAACTGGTGTAACAGACATAACTAATCACTCTCCTGTTCTCCATCCCTCACGATTGTAACCAAAGAAACAAAAAAATCAGATTCTGGTATCAACCAAGTCCCCTTGTACCATTCCATCAGGATTCAAAGTGGTCTTGAAGATTTCCTGCGAGATTTTATACCAGCTCTCACACTGAAAGGAAAGGAGATCCCTGGGATCCTTGGCATGTATGTCTGAGGACAAGTCTGGGGCAACGTTGCTGGTTCCATGCTAGCAAAGTCAATAGTTAGCTATTCTGGGACTAAGAAGTTGGAGGAAGCAAAAATGCTGCCCTCCAGAGAACCTTTTCCATGCTTTTTTGTCCTCACAGCTGGCCTCACCTCCACCTCAGGACATGAACCCAAACAGCCCCAAACACGTTTAGAAAATTCAACATTTTCTATCACGAGGGGCTCTGGACTTGATTAAGGTAATTCTCTACAAGAGGTTTGGAAAGGCTCATTTTGCTGAGTTGAAGTTAGGGTAATTATTGAATCCATTTAATTACCGTTTCTACATGATTTAGGAGACATGTCTCCTGAATAAAGACTTTCCAAAATTCTCTGTCAATTACTCTCACATATGTGGTTGGAAACCATAGCTGTACTTCTGTGGTGAGATGCCTAAGCATGAAATAATGTATCGCCAGAAAGACAGATATACTGATAAGCAGAACAATAATAATAACAAGCATGCGTCATTGAAAAATGAAGGGAGGTACAACTTACAATTTGAGTTAATGGCTTCCTTGAGAGGGATTAGCCAGAAAGATGCTGATATTCTTAAAGAACAAATGTGGCTTAAGGTGAATCCAGCTTCTCAAAGTCAAGGATGATTCATCATAGCAAGGCATGGAGAAAATCATGCATCGAGACCAGAAAAGAACATGTCAGATTTTTTGCTGAAAATCCACCAGAATTCACAGTTCTGTTCATTGAGTGCTTTTCAAACAAGGTTAAGGTCTTAAATTTAAAATGGCTTTAAACATTTGCTAGAAACCAAGGATGAAACCTGAGCAGACATCTGTCTAGTCTCAAAAAGTGCAGACATTCATCACAAGATATAATACACACTGGCTCAGAATGAGAAAGACACAAGAAGCCCGGCATAGGAACCTTCCAATTGCTAGACACCAGTTCTCCCTATTCAAGCAGTCTGCCTCTTCACAAAACATGCAGGGGCTATTCAGCATCTCTACTGTGCAAGTCTGGTGTAACGGAAACGCTGGCATTTTTTTTTTTTTAATAGATTTTATTCCCTTCTTCCTTTTCTTATTTCTTTCTTTCTTACAGCTCTCAAGTTGGTGCGGGGATGAAGAATGGATGTAGCAGAGCTCACTGCAGTCCCAGAAATGCTTGGGCAGCTCCTAGAGAAACATGGCCCAGCAGCAAGGGTCTACAAAGTGCTTAAAAGCTGAGTGTAATAGCAGCAGTGGCAGCACAATTTGGTGATACCAAATAGCCAAAAATTGCCAGGAGGAAACCAAAAAGAGGAATTCCCAGCAGCGGTTGTAAAAGTCTATTCCTTTCATGCAGTAAGTCTCTAAGCAAAAGCCTGAATATAAGTTGCCCTGGGTCTTTGCTCAAATGTGGCTCATTTGTAGGGCTGGGATTTGGAAATGAGACTTCCCAGTCATCATCCTGCAAACCCTCTGTGGGGACTCAGCCTGCTTTGGCAAACAGACCAGTGAAGGTGGAAAACATCCTCTTAGGATGCAAATGTTAAGGAAGAAGCACGATTTCTTATGCATGACCATTTGCATACTGGTATCTGTAGTAACAAAAAGTAATAATCCATACCAAAGTGGGTAGGGCTTTGGTGTAGCAGCCAGGGTGCCTTTCAGCTACACTTCTAGGAAGTTAAAAGAATGACTGGAAATTTCCATATAAAGAGCCTTGCTTTGGCACAGAGTTTTCTCAGTTAAAATGGTTCGTGGGTAAAAGCAGAGAATGGCAACCTCATGCTAAAAACCCCAAAGCTCGCTCTTACCTCACTGATGCCAAAAAGCAGAAAAGTGGGTTACAGTAACATTGTCACTCTACCACCAGGCTCAACCCATCATACGTGGTGACAGCATGGCAAGGAGAGGTGGCACAGAGGAGGAGGACAGGCAGAGAACTCCTCTCTATGGGATTATGGATAGCAGCTCATTCTTGGAGTCAGTGGTGTAAGATAGCTGGCATTACAGGTGAACTCCCCTTATGAACAGCAGCGATGCTCTAGATGTACATCAGCTGAGACAGTAAGTCCATTTGCCATCATCTGAAAGCCCAATTCAGTTTTCCCTGACTTTTACACTTGGTCAGATCATTGATTGTCTGGTATCCAGAACTGCCTGGTTCAAGTTTGGGCTCACCAACTATTGACCACATCATGAGCAGATGCCACAAACAGAGGGAACCAGAGCAAACCTGCTAAATGCTACCCAAATCAGCAGCAGGATTTCAGCAAATATATCCAGAAAATTAGGCATGACCCGGGGTCAAATCACCCTGGCATAGCCCGATAGCCAAAAGGTGCTTCTCACAAAGGGCAACTATGAAGATGAGCAAAAAGCCATGTTATAATTGTGCATCTGCACTGCCACCACATAGCCTCCAGATGTCAGCAGCAACCCAAGCAAGTGCAGAAAAACCCCACCTGCAGGATCTGACTTCCAGAAACGCTCTCCTGCCACTACCTGGAACAAAGAGACAGACGAGAGTTTCCAATTCACCTGAAACAAGTGCTCAGTTCACAGACAAAACCAAGGGATGTAGTTTGTAGCTGTGCACACAAGCATTTTACATGCACATTATACTGATGTGGACCACATGTGGGCTTCTGTGTGTGTAGGTGTTCATCACCTACATACATATCTACCTCATCATATATATATATACACATATATAACTTTTGGTCTTAAGAATAACATCCTCTTTGCTGACAACTTTTCATGAAGGTAAAAGCAAGGCATGCCCTCCAGTTTCTTTTCTAACCTTAATGCATATTCATCTCTTCCAGTACACATTCCTGTGTGCCATGCAAGTGATGAGCTGAGAAAAAAAGCAATCTGCCCTGGATAAAGGATCTGAGAACATAAGCATGGGCTGGGTCCCCCAGTAGAGGAAAGCAGCATGCCTTCAACTCTATGTACTAAGGTTGACATTAACTGGTCAAGAAATTGGTTGTCTCCTCTATTCCCCTCAGCCTGTTAAGTTCATTTTGTGCCACTCTTCGAGCAATGTAAATTTATTAGTAAAACAAATAAACAAACAAATAAACGACAAAACACTTAAAAAAAATCCATCTCTGTTTCTTCTTCCCCTTAACTCTGTTCTCTCCTTACAGCCCACCAGATTTAAATGCATTCAAAATTTATTGGGAAGGAAAAGGCCCCAGATTCTGCTCAAATCAGGCATTTACATTGTTTCTGACACAGGGTGGAGCTGTGATGCAGAATAAAGTCATAAATACCGCAGCGTGGCCCCTGATGCCAAGCTTTGGGGCAGCAGAGGTGTGAGACCCAACAGAGAGCGCTGATCACCCTTTCACAGGCTGCGGAGGAGGGATGTGCAGGGTCTCAGGGATCAATCGCCAGCCTAACCTTGCACCTGCAGATAACTGGGGGGAGATTGAGGAGCTGTTTATTTAAACACATACTCCCCCTAACACCAGATCAAAACAAAAAATTAATGAAGGAGATTCCAGATCCCCCAACTCTTGTAGGGCACAGCGGTGTTTGTGTTTTTTTATCATGAAAAGACCCGCAAGATCCTCCTGCTCCAAAGCGTTCATCCTAAGATCAGAGCTGCACATAGCAAAGTCTGAGCAGGGCCAGGGGTGACTGGAGGGATCGTGTCACAGAAGATTAATGTATCTCTTCCAGTCATAGGTTGTCAGTTAAGTCAAACACTGCTAGTGCGGGATGTTGTTCCAGACCTCTGTTAGCACAATGACGAAGCTTTTTTTAAGTCCTCTGTGTAAAAGGCATAATCCTTGTATGCCAATGGATCATATCCTTGAGATCCCTAGAGAGCAGGGCAAATGTGGAAAGAAAGGGAAAGGAAATCCCTTATTTCATAATGGTGCAAACAGACATGTCAGGAGAATTACATCAACATGCAGCACATGTGAAATCTAATACTCCTCCTAATGCATTTAGATGAGGCAAAATGCAAAGTCTATACTTCCTCTGGGAATAATTCTGGTAGGAAGCTTTCACCACTAGGAACCAAGGACTTTCTACTGACTCTGGAATTTGAGCATTTGTTTTCAAAGCCTTCCTGAGAGACTTCAAAATCAAGTTTGTTAAGTGTACATTACTCTTTGAAGATCTGTCTTCCAGAATGAAATACCAACGCTCTTCCCAGCAATGTTGGTATAAATCAGGAGTAGTACGCTTGAAAATTGGTAAACATTCATGGGGTCACAAACAATCTGCAGAAGAGGAGAGCCTGATCCTTTGAGTTGCAGAAAGCCAAGATATGCAAACACACGTGGCCCTTATCCCTTGCCTAGTGTCAGCTGGCATTGCCGCAAGGGTGCATCAGTCTTGCATGGATTTCCACCAGCTTTGACTGTGACCCATAAGGCTCTCAAAGGCCTATAAATGTAAGCAATATTTTCTTTGGAGTCCTTGCAGACAGGAGGAGCCTGAGATCTTCTGGCTGGCTTCCCCTCCCTGCCACCTCCCCACTCCATCAGACTATAGATACGGGATTCGGCAAAGGATACAGCTCAGATGTGGCTTGAATTCAGACAAGTGACTTGAAGTGATGATTTCCCCCCCACCAGGCTGCAGATGATCGATGTATTATGCATGAAAATAGAGCCAGGCACAGATGGGGTGGGAGTAGAAGGTGTGAGCTGATAATGACAGCAGCCAAGCTCTGCTCGAAAAGACTCTACAACACACTTGCATGTTGGACAGAAAAAGAATGCAACATGCATGAGAGACTATCCGTGGTTTAAAGGGTCAAACAGTTTAATTACTACCAAAACTGAGGTTTAGGCAAGGATTTGAGCAGCATGGTTGCCCAAGGGAGCAGGGAATTAGCCTTGATGATTCAAGGAAGGGTCTTTCCATCTTGTGTTCTTGAATAACCATAGGGAGATGACTGAAATTCTGGGTTTTAAAAGCTGAAGACAGGGAATGCAAAGAGGTGACATGGTGCTGCATCAGATATTGCCTCCAGCAGGATGCTGGCTTGTACTCAGTACAGTGCTGAGAACTTGGCACCAGGTCCAAAGCTGAAACAAACAGGAATTTCTCCATGGACATTTCTAGGATTCAGATCCAAGCCCTTGAAGACCAGCACGTATGGCTTGATCCTGAAGAAACAGTGGCAGTTTGGATGGGCAACATGTCACTGACTTGGAGCCAGGTGGATACAGACTTCAGTGGGAGGATAAGTCAGGAGAGCTCCAGCACCAACTGCAAAAGGAGCTGGTGCTGTGAGAAAGAGCTTAGCAAGTGTGCTACCCATAAAGACCCATGAGGAAGCAGTGATGGTCCAAAGAAAAGCAAATGACTTCCCTGATCAGACTTGGAGCACTCTGGACATCATTGCAAGGCCAGATTCTTAAAATAAGCTGTTTCCCTTCTGCAATAAGAAGGGTATACTCTGTTCCTTACATGCCTCTTTGAAGACTAAACATCTGACAGCTGACAAGATGTCATTGGCTTTGCCAAATCTGACCACAACTGATCCCTAATGCAATAAAATGTCCATCCTGAATCACTAGAGGCTGAGAATGTGTTTGTCTGGAGGTCCATCAGGCAAAGGCAGGAAAGAGTTGCAATGCATTTGCCAGTTCCAGGCTCTGTGGAAGCCTGATTCTACACAGAAAGATCCTTGCATGAGTCCGCTCTTCGCTACCAGCCCTGCTCACGGTTCCAGTGACATAACAGCTATAGGAAATTTGTGTCTGAGGGATCTAAGCTGTGCATTCAGAGACATGCAACAGCGCTTGCAATGCTGCGACATAACAATGTTTTGAGATGTCAGGCCTGCAAGCATTGCACAGATGAGATGAATATTTTTACATCGCTAGAGGTTAGGGCCCTATGAAATGTTTCACTGCTCAGAAAAAGATCTGGTCAGATTTCCTCCAAACAGAGCTCAGATGCTCAAATTTGTCTGTGGGAATAAGCATTTCTGATAACGCTGTCCAACCTGAGATTGCAAAGAAACCTCCCATAGAGGAGGAATCACAAGGGATAAGGTTTCAACTCACATATTTTCCATAGCCCAAGGGCTTGCACCCCACATATGGTTGTGGTAACTCACCTAAAACCAAGTGCAAATGTGCGACAGAAAGGGTGCATTAGGAGACTGAAGGAGCCCAGCACACATGATGGTTCATGACGGGACGTGTTGCGTTATGCTCTGCTAGCCACCAGTTTGGGTTGTCTCTACTCCCCCTCCAGCTCCCAGCTCAGCACGTCATCTCCACGGGGCTTACTTCACACCCATCCTGAGACACTTTAAACAGGCTTCCTTGTCACTGCAGCCCAACACGGTGTCCCTAAACTGTAGGAGGACCCTGAAGGGCTTGAGTAGAGCCAGTTTCATTAGCTTTACAGCCAGCCGAGCCCCACCACAGGGCATTGCCACTCAAGTTGGCTTTAAAATCACATTTTGTGGTGCTAGTACCATCGAGACCCGTGCATCAGTCCAGATCTGGCCCCAGTCTATCCTGCATGGCTCATGCATTTTCAAGGAACTCAGCAGCAATTTATGGATCAAAGATAATCGATAACACCAGAGCCCTTTCACTGTATTGCTTTCACTATATTACTGCATCCTTTAAAAAAAGAAATCTTAGCAGAACACAGTACAATGCCA